CCCATGTGTTTTTGGACCCTTTCCCCGCCGATGTGCGTGAGAGGAGCAACCGAATTTTAGAAATGTGGCAAATCCCATGTGTTTTTGGACCCTGTCCCCGCCGATCTGCGTGAGGGGTGTAAATTTTTACCCACCCTAGCAATGCAGACAACACGCTCAAGGCGTGCTAAACCTGCCCGTTTGGGCCTCCCCCCCCCTTCGCGCGGTCCATCAACAAGGAACAGTAAGCAGCAAGAAGCAGAACTGTAAAAGTGGAAACTGGAAGCTGCAACTGGTACATACAGGAAACTGCGAACCTTCGGCCTACAGCCTGGTGGCCCCACAAGGGGGCCGGCGGATTCATTGTTTTGCCGATCGGCGCGGGCCCTCGCAGCCCCCCCCCCACCCTCCACGTGGAGTAGATCTTGGCTGTTGTTTTGGCGCCTGTTTCGAGCAGGTGGAGTCTCCCCATAAATAACATAATGGACGCCCTGCTGAAAGAAAGCAAGGGCACTAAGCAGAGGTCCAGAGCCAGACCCCCCCGTTCACCCCCCCTTCCGCCCAGTGTCGAAACGCCGAATAAGAAAACGCTCCCATACGGAGAGGCAGGGGGGGGAGAGGACGATTCTGACGAGTGTGAGGGGTCGCAGGCTGGAACTTGTGAATGCTGCTGCCATTGTCCGACCTAGCACATCACTAGTAGGAGCATTGAGGGCGGGGCCGAACACACCCGTCCCAGGTCGTGCCACGCAGCTGTCCTCGGCGACGGGCTGGATGAAGAACCGTGCGTCCAAGAAGCAGGCGCAGAGGGTGCACAGGGGGGGAGATCCTGCGACACCCACGCGTTGGCACATCGCAGGTAAATTGCACTACGTGTCACCTCCACCGCCTTTTGTACCTGGGTGGACGTGGAGGACTCTCGGTGGACACGCCCTGCCGCGTGCCGGCGGGCACTGCAGAGAGCGCCAGCATGGGGAACGCAGCGTGCCTCTCTTCAGAACCGCCTCCTCCTCTTCCTTCTCCTCCTCCCTCCTCCTCCCTCTCCTCCTCCTCCTCCTCCTCCTCCTCCTCCTCCTCCTGAATCCTCATCCTCATCCTCATACTCCCCCTCCTCCCCCCCCAGATTAGTGTGGAACCTCTCGGGTAGAACTCAACGGGCGCGTTCAAGTACTCACAAAGTGCCTGCTCGCAAACGTCCGCAAAAACAAAAGCACGTCTCCCTCTATGGAGTGGATCGTCGATCCCCCGCGTTGGATCCAGGCCCTTTGCAAGTAGTTACTTTGCGAGTCGTGGAACGCGCCTGTCCAGAAAACGCCGCTTGCGGACATGGGTGCGTCTCCCTTCAGTCCGGAGGCGACAAACACACAGACACAATGCGTTGTCGAGTCCGAGGACAATATTGGAGAATAGGGACGGTGGGGGGACGACATTCCCGAAACTTTGAACATGGGATTTGTGCCTATTTGTTTGTGCGTCCCTGGGCCCCATCCCTTTAGAGCTTCATGGCCCTCGCGGGATCCAGCAGGCACGGCACCCGGGGCCCGCCGACGGAGGGGGCCGGCCGGGAGGGGTTCCACGAGTTAGCGCTAGGTCGGGCGTGCCCCTCTACCGGAGGACGATTCAAAAATGGTAAGAACTTGTCGGGGGATTTTTTTACGTTTGAACATGTTTGATGCATGTCTTGACTATATTTTATATTTCGCCCAAAATCCGCCTGTAGGGGGACACGCCCGACCGAAAGTTAGCTTGTTCAGGGCGAGAGTTGTGGGACCTCTCGGGTGAAGCACCAGCTTGGAGTGGTTGATGGGGGGGAGGAGGGTCGAAGGAGAAAAAATTGAATGAACAGAAACTTTTGGCGCTCCGCGCGGGTTTCTCGGATGCGCGCGGGGCCCCCACGGGCGACGCCTCCGGCGCCGCCCCTGGCGCGTTCCGCGCGCCAGGAAGGGGCCCAGCGCGGATCATCCAAGAAACCCGCGCGGAGCGCCAAAAGTTTATGTTTATGAAGGTTTTCTTCTTCTAGAGGAGAGGGAAGAGGCTAGAGCTCTACTTCCGCAAGCCATCATGCGCCTCAGGGCGCATTCCTCGTGTGAGGCAGCACCGTTGGGGTATTGTTACTACTGCTGCCACGCCTTCGCCTCACTGCTCCATGCTCCACTCACTCACTCACTCACTCATTCCTCCATCCCGTCAGGGCGCATACTCGCGTGCCCCGTCACTCGTACGCAGACCCACTCGTACTCATGTTCATTCATACCCACTCAGTCATATTCAGGCTCACCCATACCCAAACACCCGTATACAGAGTGACTCATAAGCCGATGCTTTCATGGTCAGGCACTCAAATTCAGGCGCATTCGTATTCAGACGTGCTCAAATTCAGCTGCTCACGCAGTCTCACACATGCCCAGGCTCACCCACACCCAGGCCCATTCCACATCTCGATGGTGTAGGTGTGTGGTTGGCGCTTGTGTTGTCAATGAGGCGTGGGTGGTAGACGGTGGTGCCGGCTCGGAATTGCGGGATGGTGGCGCGATGATTACGATTCATGTGATGGCCTCTCCCTGCCTCTCCCTTTCCTCGGGAAACCGCCTCGGGGCAGGTGATTGACCTTCTTCACGAGAAGGCAGACCGCATCAGGGCGCCCGAGGCGGTGCTACATAATGAGTAGGTCAGGAACCCCATTGGCACGTCACCCAGATGCTGCTAGGTTGCCGGATGTCAGGGAGGCGCTAGGGAGTGTTGCTCGCGGAAGAGTCGGCACGGTCTCAATTTCTTCAGTGCCTTACCTCCCACGCTCGGGCGCACGTCACTCCCCGAGGGACACGAGTAAATAGCAGGTTGTTCAAACACTCTCCCGGTAGCTGCCGACTTCGGCGACCGTTTTTGCTGCCCTTCGTAGCTTGCCCCTTGGGGGCTCTCCTTCATTTGGGAGGCGATGCGACCGAGTGGCCAAATCAGATCATGTATCGTTCCTTCCATTTTACGTGAGTGAGGGCATTGCCCCTTTAGTTATTCGTTGCCGTGTTTGCCGTGTTTACAGCTTCTTTTTCCCAGCGCTAAAAGAGCCTCGTGGTGTGATCTGGCGAAAGTGCTGCTCCCCTCTCTTCCCGCTACTGATCCGTGTTACGTTGTCTCTGTATAAGATACTATGTTTCTTTCGCTGCGCATGCCCCGGCGCGTGGCGGCGTACCTATTTGGTAATCCTTCGCCTTTCTGTAGGCAGATATGCGTATAGACTAGATACAATTGTCTTATTCTCATTGGATACACAAATCTACATGTATATCCATCGTTATCTTTTCTATCTCTCTCTCATTATGTATATACGTGTCTAGCTTCTCTGTCCCTACCAGGGTGTTCGCACATCGCTTCCCTAGGCGGCGGATCTGTATCAACTCTGTCCTCGCAACTTGCTGCGGCACCAGTCCACAACTGATGTCGAATTCGCCCCGTCTGCAGGAACTGCATCCGCAGTGCGCATCATCGACGTGTATCTTGGCTGGTATTAAGTCGTGCGGGATGCATCAGGCCGAAGTCCCAGGTGGCAAAGGAATCGCATCGCGTTCCTGCCGCTCGGGCAAGTGGCAATGGCTCCACTTCACATGCATTGAAGGCGTCGCCAAGCGGGTCAACTGTTTGATGCTGCAACACGTAGATACCGTGTGCCCCAGAAGGCGGAAGGCCAACGGAACCTGACGGAAGTGGAAGATGCGCCCCAAAGTTGTTACGTGTGAGGGGGGTTCGAGTCTGCCAGAGCGGGTCACCGCGTCACAAATTGCCGAGAGCGTCACCGAATGGCGCGCCGTAGCAACCGTGTGCCGCAGGAATCCGAGGATGTCCGACTAAAGGGGACGTATCCGCGATCAGACTGCGTTCCGTCCAATCCACCACGATCAAGGGAGGAAAAAACACCCGGACCGGACAAGTGGCGTTCATTAGACTTGGGCGTTTACGAAACAGCCTTGCCCTGTTCGATTCCTTCAGTGGGGGCGTTCAGTAAACGGCTTCGCGTGTCGGGGTGGTTATCCTGGGGGTGGATTGTTTGCCTTCTACCACGGGGATCGAGTGGGGCCGCGCGCGTGCGGGCGGGATTCTGAGGCCTCCCCGTGTTGGCCGCGGCGCTGCGCTGGCGGACCCCGTCGCCGGAGGCCGCCCGATCTTCGTCCACCGGGAGCCTTGAGACGGCGGTCAATGCAAACGGGGGTCAGCCAGAGCGCCGGGTCCTGCAGGATCCTGCAGGGCCACGGTCGCATCGACCCGGGTTTGGGTGCCGAATCCTGCAGGATCTTGCAGGATCTTTCGCATTGACCCGGGTTTGGGTGCAGGCCTTGCAGAATCTTGCAAGATTCTGCAAGGCCTGACTGACCTGGGTCTGGATTGACCCGGGTCAGAGGATCCCCGAGTCCATTTGTCCCAGCCATTGTGCACCGAAGGAGCCAAATCGTGTCAAGGCCATCTCGCTACCGGCTCATGTTTCTCTGTGACTTGGACTGTGGGCTCACACGTCTTCTTGAGTCTCCTGCTTCGCCTGCAGCGCGTCATGGCACGGTAGGTTCCTGCGGCGTTGGCGCGCTGGCGACGCTGGCGAAGGCGCTCAAGGCTGAATTCTTCGACTCGGCAGTACCGAGGCACTCTGCAACGCCGCCGGACCCGACAGAATTCAGCTTTGAACGATCGGTGCCGCGATCGACTCCAGGCTGAACGATCGACGCGGTGTCGAAAATATCTGCGCGCGTCGACGCCGCACGCAGAAGCCCTAGACGCAGCCAAGGGAGGAGGACGAGGAGGAGGACGAGGAGGAGGAGGAGAAGGAGGAGGTGGACGAGGAGGAGGAGGAGGAGGAGAAGGAGGAGGAGGAGGAGGAGGAGCAGAGAGAGAGGAGGAGGAGAGGGAGGAGGAGAGCAGGAGGATGAGGAGGAGGGGAGGAGGAGGAGGAGGAGGAGGAGGAGGAGGAGGAGGACGAGGAGGAGGAGGACGAGGAGGGAGAGCCTGGCGCAGAAGCAGCGCAGCCCTGACCGCAGCCACGGGCCCCCGCGCAGCGGGTGCCCCCTATGCCAGCTCCGGCCGCGGGCTGCCTCGAGGCGGCACGGCCGCGGGCGAGGCGAGGGCTCGAGGCAAGCAAGCGCAGGGGGAGAGCTGGGGAGCGTGCTTGGCAGGATGAGGAGGAGGAGGAGGAGGAGGGAGGAGAGGGGGCAGGAACCTCCTCCTCTCCTCCTCACTCCTCCTCCTCCTCTCCTCCTCCTCCTCCTTCCTCCTCCTCCTCCTCCTCCTCCCCCTCCCCTCCTCCTCCTCCTCCTCCTCCTCCTCCTCCTCCCTCCTTCCTCCTCCTCCTCCTCCTCCTCCTCCTCTCCTCCTCCTCCCTCCTCCCTCCTCCCTCCTCCCTCCCTCCTCCCTCCCTCCTCCCCTCCCTCCTCCTCCTCCTCCGCCATCCTCCTCCTCCTCCTCCTCCTCCTCCTCCTCCTCCTCCTCCTACTCTTCCTCCCCCTCCCCCTCCTCCCCCTCCTCCCCCTCCTTGGCGGAAGGGCAGGGCACGCGGGGCATGCGCGCTTGATCCAGCGAGCGGCGAGGCACACTGGAGAGGGCAGACTTGGAGAGCGGAGAGGGGCGAGCCTGCCACGTTCGGATCGCACCTGGCACCTTGCATACGATGCTTGCGCCTTTCTTGTGTGTCTCCCTTCATGCACCAGGCTGGGTGTAGAACATCATAATCATCTGACTGCGTGTGGACAGTTGAAGCCGTTGTATGTTGCAGAAGGGGCGATGCAAGCAAGGCAAGGTGAGAATACGTGTGGGGATGTCTTTCGACGTACTACGCTGTTGGCCGATTGCGCTTGCAACTGTCAGCTGAGAAGAGAACTTGTCAATGGATGCTGTGGGGCGCAGGATGGTGGTCGCGATTTCTTGTGAGCCAGCGCCGCCTCCAATTTTTGTGTTCAAGACCGACGATGAGCTACAGACGAGCCAGGATGAATGGGATGGCTTGCGGTGGATGCTTTTTTCAGGTCAACGACACGGCACAGTAGCACGAAACATTGCATGATGCATGACATGTCATCCCACGCGGGCCAGGTAGCTGCTTGAGGTAATCCCAGATCCGTGCGTTCTTGCCGTGTTTGGTCCGGTACAACCCACATGTTTCGGTCGTTGCCCCAGCGCACCCGATAGTTCCCCCTTGTGATGTAAGTGCAGCGCGGCTGATCCCGTCCCGAGGTGTACACGCATGCAGGGAAAGGGGGCGTCAGGTGCGCAGGGATGCGGGATGGTCGAGATACATGAATACTTGCGTTAAGCCTCTACGATGTAATCGGCTGTTGATGCTTGTCTTCTCCAGATGTTTTGAGGCTCTCAGGCCGAGCGTTTATCATCGTCACAACTTGACCACCGCATCTGGTCCGACGCGCGAGAGCCCACCTTTGTTGTACGATTACATGCACATAAACATACTGCGCATGCACAGATCTATTTCGATTGCGCATGGGCTGTGAAGCGCGAGCTTGCGTTATCCAGCTCAACTGCATTACCGACCAGGTGCCCTAGACATGGGGAGCTTGCGCAAACGCGCGAGAGGATGTCACATCTTGAGTTCCGGAAGGGGCACAATGGAGTTTGACAGCGGCAAACAGATGGCTCGTCGACACATCGGTTCGCACGACGAAACGCGTATATTTGTTTCAGGCGTCAGTTGCACCAGAATGCGTCGCTCGTCGTTGCATTTCTGGAGGAGGCGTGTGACAATTCAGCGGAGTGGTCCGTCGCCGGGGCGAACTCTTGGTGCGCGGCGTTCGGGGACCGAGCGGGGGCCTCCCCGAGCACGCGGACCGCTTGTGCCGCACCGTGCGCAGCAATGGTCGGCCAACCGCGCACCAAACGTCGCTCTTGCCCATGCTCAGCTGCCTCGATACGCACGTTCTGATACGCAACACGCCCCGTGTCCAAGACGTCCGTGTCAATACGTTGCGTGTTGGCTCCACGTATTGGACCACGTGTTGGCGAATGTATCGCGTCGGAGCTACGTTTTCAGCCCACGTGCCGAGCTCCGTATCAATACGATACGTGTTGCGTGTTGCGTATCGGGGCGACTAAATGTCCAGGGCCACCCTTGCGCGCACAGTGGAGACACTGACTGATGGAAGCCAGCGGTTTTTGTCGAGCTGGTTCTGTGGCGGACGCTGCAGGGCGAGCAGAGGCGAAGCAGCTTACAGACGGCGTTCTACGTCACAAGGGGGCAGATCTTGCACATATCTCCGCACATTGTTTTTGGTGTCACCCCGCATGTGCCAAATTCCGTTACTGGCCCAGCGATCAAGTGTGTCAGGATTTGACAGGTTAGCGTATTGATGTCTTGCGTTTTGTGTCCATTGGTTGATCTGTTTTACCCCCATGGCGGAGCAAGGACGCAAAAGAGAGCCAGAGTAATGCAACGCGTGTGCCGCATACAACGCCAGCGATGCAGCCGAAGCACGTTGGCATTTTCGCAGAGGAGGAGTATTGTAAAGCGATCACAGAACTGCAGCAGCAGTA